GCTTCACAATGGATATCCCCCCTCCCTGTGCAAAGGTAGGGAGGGAGGATACTATTTATAAGTAAATTCCAAAAATTCCAAATTCCAAGTGTTTTGTTGTTTTTTTTTAAATTAAAAAAATATGCTTTATATCCTCCCCTCGTTGGGCAAAGGTAAGAAGGGAGGGGGGATAGAAAGCATTTTTTTTTTTATTTAAAAAAAAACAACACATTTGTTTTAATCAGCCCCCTCTCCCAACTACACACACACTGCCCCACCACACACTACCCCCACTGCCCCTCCATACACACACTGCTCCCACTGCATCCCCATACACCCACTGCACCCCCATACACACATTGCCCAAACTACACCCCCATGCACATAATGCCCCCACTGTACCCCCATACACACAAACCTCTCAAACTGCACCCCATACACACACTGCCCCCACTGCACCCCCATACACCCACTGCACCCCCATACACACACTGCCCCACTCTACCCCCATACACACACTTCACCCCCACACACACACTGCACCCCCATACACACACTGCCCCCCACTGCACTCCTATACACATACTGCCCCCACTACACCCTCATACACACACTGGCCCCATACACACAGTGTTCCCACTGTACCCCATATATACACTGCACTCCCATGCACACACTACACCACTCACACAAACACACACTGCCCCTCCTGCACACAGTGCTCCCACTGCAGTCATATACACACACTGTCCCACATACATACCCACACACACCTACCTACCTAGAGGCCCTATCCCCATACTACAGCCCCCATCCTGGCAGACCCCAGGTAAGTTGGCAAACTGTTCTTAAACAGTTTGACTATTTACTCTCGGAGGGCACCACGGCACTCCTGGCACCATAACCACTACAGAGAGCTGTAGTGGTTATTGTGCCTGGATTGTTTCTTTAAATAATCTATGAGTGCCCCTCTCGAGATAAGGCTCTGGATCCGCCAGTCTCCGGGCACTCAAAATCTATTATCAATAAAGCTGCTTCATAATGGATCTTGAGTGCCTGGACCTTATTTACTCTCTATCTTGTTTTAAGGCATGGCATGTTAAAGAAATCACACGAAAGGCTCCCTTTACGTGTCTAACACATCCATGGTCTTATAGTTGATGATAACTTTATTATTTTATTTTTAAGCAATTTATCCTCTGTCCGTTAATACAGTTTTTGCAATAACCCTGACTTGCAAACTTCTTCAATGCTTTATACTGAGTGAAATAAAAATAATACTTACTATTTCTGCCTATTATCAGTCTTCACTAACATAGTCCACCATGTGATTTGTCAGTGGTATTTTTGCTTTCATTTATTGTCATTAATTTATTACAAAATATAAGACTAAAACCAAAGCCAACGTCATCTATAATTCAGTGCTGTGACAGGTTTCTTGCAGAACTAGAAAGTTATGTTTTATTAGAACAATAAATATGTATAGCTTCACTATATACTTATCTGGTTTACTCTTAAGTGACATGAAATGTGATAGTCCTTGTCAGTTCAGAATAGTTTGTTAAAAAATGTCACACTAATGCCTACTCTTAGTAAAATGTGGGTAGATTTACGAGTATGTGAGCAAAGCAGACATCATTCAAAAATATCTTCTGTGTGCATTTTTTTACTAAAAGGGCCATGTGATTCTTTTTATTTGGCAATACATTGAGTTTATTGAGCATTAAAAGGATTCTGTAGTGAAGGCAAACAAACCCGTTTTCCTAGCACTACAGGCTTCTGCAGTGCCCCCCTCCCTCGCACCCCTCCCTCCTCCTGCGCGTTGAAGGGGTATAAACCCCTTCAGTGACTTACCTGAATCCATTGCCGATTTCTCCATAGGAATGCATTATTCAATGCTTTCCTATGGGGAAAAATCTGATGCTGGAGGTCCTCATGTAGAGCGTGATGTCTAGCGTCAGATAACGGACTAAAGGTCCTTTTCGATTTCAGAAGTCCCTCTAGTGGCTGTCTGGTTAACAGCCACTAGAGGAGGAGTTAATCCTCAGAGGTAATTATTGTAGTTTCTCAGAAACTGCAATAATTACCACTGTAGCGTTAAGGGACATGGGACATTGCACCCAGATCACTTCAATGAGCTGAAGTGGTCAAGGTGCCTACAATGTCCCTTTAAGTGCATACATGTAAAACAACCGTAGTTTCCCAGACATTGTATGATATCACCCATATGAACAACAACAACACGTAAGAATGTATGCATAGCTAGCCATAATCAAACAGGACAAGTATAGTAAGGGGAGATGCTAGTGAGGGTTGGGGGCAGGAAAAGAGCAAGCCCATACAAACAGCTGGCTAATAGGCAGGACGTGTGGAGATTCCAGACTCAACTTCTTTATTTGAAAGTATCACTCTCCATGAGATGCACACCACATTATCTGTTCCCGTCCAAGTTGATGTGGCTTGGGCAGTCCTGATATCTGTCTTTATTATTATACGTCAATCATAGCTCAAGCCCTACATCATATCTCGACTGTCAACACCCCCTAGGTCAAGTTCAGAAAAGGTCCATGGGAATTCTAGTGATGTTCATGCTTAAAATACTTTATTTAAAAAAAAAAATTAATAGTTCCAGTCTAAATGATTCCCTTGCATAATGCATCAAACTAGCGACCATATGATATATAACAGAGTTTTACGTATATATTCTTTTTAAAGCTCCAAAAGTCCCATAGTGCCGTACAATAGGTGGACTAACAGACATGTAATTGCAACAAGACCAGTTGAACACACAGGGACAGAGGGTATTGTGGACCCTGCTCAAACAAGATTACATTCTAGAGAGTGTGGGGTAACGCTTTTTATAGGTCCTTTAATTTAAACCCCTGGTTATTTTTGTTATCCTGGTCCTTACAGGGCTTCCCAAAGAAATTACAGAAATTGTTTAACAAAATAACAGCAATGAGGGCTTTGGATGTATCTTGCATTGGAGTCTCACAACCTTCAATCAGAGAGGTTAAAGCTAAAATATATGAAAATCACATAATGGATCAGTTAACAATGGTCTACCTTCTTTCTATAAAGTCTGGGATCATTGGTGGGATTTCATCTCTTCAATTTAAGTGTAGATATAATGCAAATGCTTTAGGCCTCATTGCGGTGGAACCAAATTTTACCCTCTTCTTCTCTACCTATTATTATAGTGGTTATTTGCCTTATATTTTGTTTTTTATTCTATGTTATATAATAAAAAAAATGGGACAAACACTAGATTATATGTATATAGTATATTGTTTTCAACATATGTTTTTGTGTATAGTCAAGGAGAGACTCACATAGTGTGGTAGCTTCCTATTATCAATATAGTGTTCTTACACCTATGTTTAAGCTCTCACATTGCATTTTTGCTTCTTTCAACTATATTATATGTGATGACAATAACTTATGTAAAGGTTGTTATGATTGCCACTGAAATACAAAAATAAAAAAATACAATTTGAATTAAGTGTCCACCTCCCTGCCCATACCAATGGCCGCTGCCTTGTTTCCTATGCAAATCTTACGAGAGGAGACTTGCTTGGTAGAGTTCACCAGCCAACCAACAAAAGTGCACTGTTGACATTTAAAACCCTGTGAAAACCTTCATAGAGGCTTTTCACGGCATGAAAGCTCAGTGTGCATGGTGTACTTGCAGGTTAAAAAAAGATTCTTTGTTTTTGCTGTGCATTTTTTTTTTCCGACTCAATTCATTTTTTATGGTAGCATTGGGATATAATGACTATATTTTACCATTTTTGGGAATGAAGAAAAAAAGGTATAAGAAAATAGAAGACTTATGAAGATAAGTATAACTTTTTATTTTACAGGTGTTAGATTTATTGCCCCCTCACTATTATTAGGGAAATAACGGGTAGGTATATTGTTTTTATTGGGTGGTGGTTAGAGGCTTGGGGTTTAGAATACCTGTCCACTGTCCTGTAATCATTACTCCACTTTCCACTTATGCCCCTCAAGGGGACAGTAAATTTTAAACCACCTTTGGTTTGAATAACACCAAACTAAAGCCCATCGGTGGGAGAGTAAGGGTTGTGGACAAAAGCATGTCCACCCCCTTTCTTAATTTTTATGGATGGGCCTGGGGGGGATTTTAAAAACAAAATAAAACATGGAGTATAGAGCTCCCAAAACATATCCAATTACCATTACCCAATTATTGATTGCAAAGCTCCATCCTGATGCCCACGGGTGGGAGCACAAAGGGACTTATGCCCGGTTCCACCCAAGATTTTTAAACACCTTCTTTATTAACAACTTGGCAGCAAAAGTTTTTAATTATAGTGAGCTGATCACTTTTTTCTGGATATGCCGTCATCGCGGAATGATAGGTGGGGGCATAATCAAGGTTTTATACTTCACTTATATTGACCCCAAAGGCTTTTTGTGTTTTGTGAACATTTTAATGAGGCAGCTAGCTAGCAAGAACTAACCAGTCATTTGTTTCAAGATAGGTCTATATGGCTTATTGGGGTTGAGGAATTTGGCAAAAATGCCAATGACACAAAACTTGGACAAACCACATGCACAGTCTGCAAAATGTATTATAGGTATGTACTATTTTATAGTATATTGTGCCTTACATGCCCTTTATTTATTTTAAATATTTAACCCTCTGCTAAAACAGATGCAAAATAAAATTCAATCCTGAGCAAGATGAGAAACATCAGATATTTCAAAAAATGTCCAAGAATGTGTGATTTTTACATGAAGCTATTTCAAACTAGATTTGTAATGACTCATGATGAATTAACAATACAACTCCCTAAGGCAGTTTCTGTCCTCTAGGTGCACATGCATACCAGGTTTTCATATTTAGTAAAGTGCACAAAAATGCAGTAACAACTAGTCCCCACTCTGGCACAAATCCAACAACAAATAAAGAGGAACTGTCACATTACTGGTTGATAGGTTCCTTGTTCCCGCCATTGCAGAGTTTACTGGAACGAACAAAGCTGCGAGCAAGCACAATTACCACTTCTACACAGACGTGCAAGCTATAAAAATTAATAACACAACCTATAGCTAACGTTCATTTAGATATTCAATTGTGCGCACATCTCACTAGTGAAAGGTCTCTTTAAAGGGACACTTTGTGATCCACAACCAAAACATCTTCATTACTGTCTGCAGTCTGACAAATCTAAGCATTGGTGTTTGTTAGCAATATTTCCATTTCACCCTAAGGACATTTTTAGTGGCTTTCCATCAGCCGTACACGGTGAATGCTTCTCATTCAGAAGCATTTGATTAAACGGTGCTCTATGGAAAGCATACAATTAGCGCAGCACAGCAACCGCCACACCTGTGCTGTTGATCACCAATGCTTCTCTATGAGCATAATGACTAGGACAGTGCTGAATTGAGGGTAAATTTAACTCACAGGAACACTCTAACATTACAAAGAAATGTATTTTTGTTTTAAATATTTTATTTATTCGTATATGAGCCATGCCAAGACAATGATATGCACAATATGAAGCAAAAGCCACAAAGATTTTACTTTTATGAAATACTTATTTTGCAGGTTGTGGTGGTGGTAACAGTGCCACTTTAAAGTGTTCCTATAACATTAAAGTCCATGGCCCGTCTTCTGCTAGTAACTTTACAGTTTCAGCAGGTCCTACCAATATGTTAATATTAGACAATAAATACAGTAATGATGGTTTATATGGAACAACTGCATCGTAGATCAATGGTTGTCAGCATTTTGAAATAGGAAGACCCCATTTCACATATTTCCAAATTTCTGGGACCAAAATGGTAACAATTAATTTTTTTTATCTTTAATAAAAACACATATTAATGAGAAAATAGGTGTTCTTAGCATATTTAAATTAGGTGTTATTAAACAATATGCAAAAGTTATTTCCAACAGACTGTGCTAACAGAATCAGCATTTATGCATATGCTCATATGCAATCAAGATCAGTGTGTTCATAGATTTTCAGTATTTATAAACTAAAAAAAGGAGGAAAAAAACACCTCTATCCAATGCTGTATTCTGCGTTATAGCAGGTGGGGGATAAATGGAGGTTTTATATCTCACTTATACTAATATGGGGCCCCATAAGATTTTTGTACTTTTTGAGCATTTTATTTTATTTTATTGCAAGCAGCCAGGCAGCAGCTACATTCAAATCATTAAACAAACAACATAGCTTGTCTATTCATATTTTCCATGTGTTTTGTGATAGGTCCATTGGAGTTACAGAATTTAGATGATTTGTAAATTACCCAAAATTTGGATTAACAATATGCACATGTAAAATGTATTACAGGTATTTACAATTTTTCAGCATATTGTGATTTACATGCCCATTATTTATCTTAAGTATTTTAACCCTTTGCTAAAATAGATGTAAAATAAAATACCATCCCTGAGCAAGCTGATGAATATCAGATATTTCAAATAATTTCCTTTTTGCCAAGAATGTGGGATTTTTACAGAAAGCTACATGAAACTAGATTTGTCATACATTAACAATGCAACTCCCTAGGGTAGGGAGTTTCTGTCCTCAAGGTGCACATGCATACCAGGTTTTCAATTTAACATTTAGTAAGTGCAAAACATGCAGTAACAAGTAGGCCCCACTCTGGCACAAATCCAACAACATATGAAGAGCAACTGTCACATATCTGGAGGATATGTTCCCATCATTACAGAGTTTACTGGGGTCAACAGAGCAGCAAACAAAAACATTACCTCTGCTACACAGAAGTGCAAGCTTTAAAAAAGGCCCTGGGAAGATAGCGCAGCTAAGCAGGCAAGGGCACATGTATGAGTGTGGGGATAGATGCATGGGATTGGTTGGGAAAGAATGTGTGGGTGGGATTATGTTCTGGGAAAGAATGTGTGGGTGGCATTATGTTCTGTGTAAATTAGTGTGGGGGAGGTCTTACCTCAGTGCCACTTGGGATTCGGGCTTCCTCCTGCTCCTGTTTGTCCTGGGCCTGCAGGTTTACCAGCTTGAGGGATGGAGGATGAGGCTTTCTGGCTTTCCCTCAGAGCTGCAGCAGGGTGGCTGGTGGCCGGCGATTCCTGACCCAGGTGCTCTCCTCTCTCCTGGTGTGGCTGCTGGCGTGGGTTTGCACCCCCCGCGGCCTGTCTCCCTCTGGGGCCTCCCCTGTGGCCCCTGCTCCTGGGTGCCACGATGGCGCCGGCTGGCATTCCCGCCCACCAGCTCAGCTACCCCCCACCCCCTTACACTGCTCCTCAAGCCCGGTTGAGGAGGTGGAGCCCGGGTCCAAGGCATCACCTGGCCCGAGGGCTCCGGTTGCAGGGGGGCCCATTCCGTCTCCCGCGGTTTCATGCGGGCAATCTGTCGGGATAGGGGACGTGGGTGTTCTCCGTGCAGGACCTTCCGTCCATATGAGAACTCCATCGGGTGGTGCGGGAGCGGCTTACCAGGAAAGCTTGATAAGCTTACCTCCCGACTGTTTTTAGTGTGCACCCAAGTCCGCTCCACGGGTCCCCCCTTGGGATATGATGCCCATAGAGGAGGGGGTCGATATCCCTGATTCCTTATTTACTCAGTTGTCGTTCCCTTCAAGGGGTTAGGTATGGGATGGCGTGGCATGACGCAGCGGTCCGCGTGGTTAGGGTTGTGGGGCCCTGGGGCCTTGCTGACGAAGGCAGCTGTGGAATCGGCTTTCCGGCTGCTGCCGGTGCGCCCGGCAGGTTATTGTTTTCCAGGCTGTATTTCTGATGGTCAGTGTTAAGTGGTTATGTGCCTCCTCAAGGGTTGCTCCCAATGTCGCTTATGTGTGGGGCCGTCAGTGTCGCATGTCCGTACTCTGCTGCTGCAGTGTTTTCTTGGGGTAGTGTTTCAGCGTTTCGGAGTTCCGTGGCCCAGGACATAACCGTGGGTCGGGATACGTGCTGTAGTTTCCTGGATAGTGGGATCGATTCCGGGGCGGGGGAACATCGGTTGCCCCTGTCTGCGGTTTAAGACATCAGGCAGGAGGTGTCGATGGTTTTGGGGGCATTGTGGGTTTCAGCTGCGCTACCCGTGAGCTCTCCTGGGTAAGCTGGGCTTTTCCCCTCGGGGCGGTATGGGGTTCCTTCTTGGCCTCCCTTAACGGTGGCTTGTGCAGGCAGGCCCCGTAGGTCCCTTCCACTGACTTCCATGGGTTTAACGCTGCAGCAGGTTTGGGAGGTTTGGGGCCATTTTGGGCTCTCAAGGGCTCTCAAGACATCAGGCAGGAGGTGTCCGTGGTTTTGAGGGTGTTGTGGGTTTCAGCTGCGCTACTCGTGAGCTCTCCTGGGTAAGCTGGGCTTCGCCTGTCGGTGTTGCCCTCGGGACGGTATGGGGTTCCTACTTGGCCTCCCTTAACGGTGGCTTGTGCAGGCAGGCCCCGTAGGTCCCTTCCACTGACTTCCGCGGGTTTAACACTGTGGCAGGTTTGGGAGGTTTGGGGCCATTTTGGACTTTCAAGGGTGGGCTGACTCTTGCCCAGTAAGCTGGCAAGCATCGGGGCTTTTGCAGAATCTGGCTGTCTTGGAACTTCCCCATTCTGGTGGCATGGTAGGCGTGGGGTACCCAACTCACAAACAGGTGGATAGTTTTTCCATTGCGACAATCTTGGGGTGGTGCAGGCTGTCTATCATGTGATAGTATCCTCTCCCCCTGTGGTACTCTGGTTGCGGTGCGTGGCTTGGCGCTGTTTGAGTCTGGAGGTGTCTGGTCAGGCGGAGTTTGCCCGGGGATTCACAATGCAATGGCTGATGCTCTATCTCGTTCATTGTCGGACGTACTTCGGACGGGGGCTCCGCTGGGTCAAATTATAGGGCAGTGGAGATGTGGTCACTTGGTCTAGCAGACTGATGAAGCTGGTCCATGGGTCAATCTCTGAGGCAGCGTGGGGCCCGCTACAGTAAGGTGTGAGTTATCTGGATGGATGGGAGCGTTACCTCGTGGGGTTCCAGGATTAGACTGCTTGTCTACATGTTTGTTCCGTCTCTTAAGGGTGTTGAGGGCTGTGGGGTAGTCCTCCATAATGAGTTCTTCGATTTGCAGGGCTCGGCTTCCCGTTCAAGTTACGGTCGTCAGCAGGTGGGAGGGTGTTTTGGTGGGATTGAATAACCATCGGAACGGACCTCCTTCAGGTTGTCTTTGGGAAGGGTACGTTGGTAGCGGTTTGCTCATTTGGGATTTGTGTTGACCTTAAATCTGGACATGTCACGCATTCTATTTTCTTCCCAGATGTTCACAGGGTCTGAGCTGAGGTTATCGTCTTGTTCCTTTCGGCAGCGCGCTCAGCAATGTGAGTGCCCTGGTACGCTGCCGTCGGAAATCGAACAAGATGGGTTTCTAGGTTTGTCTTGGGGGATTCCAGTTCGCTTTAGGGTTCTGAGCGGGATGTGGCCTAGTTATATCAAGGGGATGGAGTGCGCTTGCTGGAGGTCAAACTAGGCCTCTGTTAATCTTGCTCTGTAAGAAGTGGTGGAACAGGCCATGGATGGGTTTGGTGGGGTACCCTGCTGATTTTAGGTGTAAAACAGGGGGGTTGTGGCCGGGGGTATGTCCTTGCCAATTGAGTTTGAGGGGTTACGTTTAAGTATATGGAATGAGATGAACAAGTTCTTAAGGTCTCAACCTCCCCTGCTCTAAAGGGTTCACCTTAGGTTACCTGGGATGTCGTGCCCATCGAGCGTGGATAAGGTCGGCTGATGGCAGGCACTGGAAGGAAATGATTTTTATGCCGAGGGGGGAGGTGAGAGGAAGTGGCACATAGGCGCATGGTCAGTTTATTGGCAAGGATGGTTGGGTTCACTGTATGACACTATGTGTTAAGTTATATGCATATCTATGTTAAGTTATGGTTATTTAGGTTTAACATTTTGTTTACAGAAAAGAAGAGAAATTATTAAATAAATTATGGATGTGTCATACAGTATTTGTCATATGTTTCAATAAATGCTGTGGCCTGTTTCACCCATACTACATTGTCTGTCATTATTTTGGAAGGGGATGAATTGGGTTGGTTTATGTATTATGTTGCATCGCGATTTCCCACTAATTACATACCTGAATAGCACAACCTATAGCTAACTTTTAGTCAGCCATTCATCATGCACACATCTCACAAGTGACAGCTCCTCTTTAAATAGACACTTTAAACACCAAAACCACTATATCTTAATTACTCTTTCTGCAGTAGTGTTTGTGAGAAATGGTAAAAACATTGGTGGACTGGGCAGGCAAGTAGCAGAATAGACTAACCCCTTAAGGACCGGTGACGGTTCAGGACCTTCATCAGCATTTTTGCGTTGCCCAACGCTGATGGTCCTGAACCGTCACAACGGTGTAATGTACTTACCCGATCGCCGTCGTTCCCCCGGCAGCGATTGGCGGTGCTCCTGGTGTGGGGAGACTGCCTGCAGCCCAGACAGTCACCCCATGTCAGATAAGGACCCCTGGGGCCATGTGAGCGCTCAACAGAGCAATCACATGGTCACAATAGGTGTCCTAGTGTCTGCCTGTGCTGAGAGGCAGTCTCCCTGCTAGTGTAAAATAAAAACATGGTTAATGTTAATAAAAAAATAGAATTATATGTGTGTGTGTATATATATATATATATATATATATATATATATATTTATATATAATATATGTCTATATATCATATCTATGTAATATATGTCTATATATCATATATATAATGTCATACTAAGTGTATTTTTATATTAATATAAAAATACACTTATAATTAAATTACACACGTATATATATATATATAATATATATTATAACTATATATTGTATATATATAATAAAATACAAATAAGTAAATTAAATTATAAAAATTTTAAATAATTTTTACAAAAATTATATATCTATATGAAATTTTATTCTAATTGTATTTTGATATTAATATATATATATATATATATATATTTATATCAAAATACACTTAGAATGAAATTGTATATATATCTATGTATATATAAATAAATAAAAATAATCCAAAATATACATATGTCCATATACAAAATTGCATAAATAATTATATAAATATACACGTAGACTTCAAAAATAAAAATATGCATATATATTTAAATTCTATGTGTGTACTTATGTAATATTTTTACATATTTAAGTAATTTTATTGATTGCAATTTGAGGGACCTGCCTGACAACCCAGGCCAAAAGTCCAGAGAATTTAATTTGCTAGAACTGTATTTTACTCTGTAACTTTCTATGACACCCTTAAACCTGTACATGGGGTTACTGTTTTACTCGGGAGACTTCGCTGAACACAAATATTATTGATTCAAAACTGTAAAACATATCACAGCGATGATATTGTCAGTGAAAGTGACTTTTTTCACATTTTTAACACACAAACAGCACTTTGATATAATTGTTGTGATACGTTTTCCTGTTTTGAATCACTAATATTTGTGTTCAGCAAAGTCTCCCGAGTATAACCCCTCATGTACAGGTTTTATAGTGTTTTTGAAAAACTGGTCGCAAATGTACAACTTCGCAAAAACAGTCCGGTCCTTAAGGGGTAAATGCAGATAAATGTAAAGTAAGGCATTTTGGAATAAGGCACAAACAAGTAGCTTATGAATTAAATGAGTTTGATTTAAGGATAACATTTAATTAAAAGGATTTGGGAATAATTATAGATTTACTAGGCAACAGTGTTCAAGTAGGTCTACCATTACATAGAATAGCATGGTGCTGTCAACTATTAAATAATTAAATATATTGATTCACATGATCAAAATACAATTTTGACTTTTTATAAATCAATGTTAAGATCCCACCTTTAATATGTGGTGTGATTATTGGCCACCAGTTTTAAAGGCGGATATTGCAGAAGTAGAAAAAGTGGAGAGGCGAGCTACAAAATTAATAAGGGGGATGGAAAACATTAGTTATGAAGAAAGTCTATGAAAACTGTATTTGTTTTCTTAAGAAAAAAAAGGCATCTTAGAGGGGATGCAATAGCACTACACAAATATATACAGGGTCAGTACACACCACTATGGTTGTCCTATTTTCCTTAGGTGAGTGCTATTCCTTCCCCTGAATTCTGTTCATTAGCAGGAATATACAGCAGACAAGAGGTAATTTATTCAAACTGAAAGAAAGACACTTCAACTTACAGCAGAGGAAATGGTTCTTTACAGTAAGAACAATAACGATGTGGAATGCTCCATCTTTAAGAGGCCATGTATGGTTGTAGATAGAGTATCCCTTTTATGCACACAGGCAATCCTTTGCATTATTAGCTGATAAATATAGGATTTCCTACACATGTGTATGTCACTTTCCTTCCCTTTTTTTTAGCTTAGATTATTATTATACAAAGAGTAATTTTCTAAGTTATGAGATGTATGACACAGGCTAAGCTATGATTTAAAGAGACAGTACATAGTTAATATCCTATCTTTGTGTTAGGATCATTTTCGCTTTCTCTCCAGTTTAGAATTGCTTAGTTATCATGGATAAACTTACCTATAGCTGTCTTTAGTTTTCACTAATGATATGTATTATCCTATATACCTAGCATTCTGCAGAGATAGTGCTGAAGACACACACACACACACTTACAGACGCATACACACTAGCTAACAGACACACACATTT